TGATTCTATTGCTTCTGCTCTGAGGAGGAAGGTTCTTTGGGGTCTGTGAAAGACATGGATACCTGCCACCCTACATCCTTTCTCCCTTGTTTTTACTAACAGATTCCCAAATTGACTTAGAGTATTAGTGAGTCGAGCCAAAAATATAATTCTATTTAATTCTGAATTCCCTTGCAACCAGGAAACTAATCCTACCTAATCAGATATTAATGAATGGGACTTTCCAAAGAGCCCTTCAAAGGAAACCAAGTCAACTGAAAGGATATCTTTTCACCTATTGTCTCATTCCAGTTTGGGCTAGAATTAAGACATGATTCCTGGAGCCCTGGCTGCCATCTTAGATCTTGAGAATGGATGCCAGGCAGTAAGATTGAGGGAACAAAAAACAGAAGCCTGTGCCTCTGGTGCCCTTATAGAACCTCCATCTTTGCCCCAGACTTCCCATTCATGAAATTCTTCCGGGTTAGAGAACAGACCTCCACATTTATTTCAATCACTATAGTAGGGTAAATTCCATATGCATGCAAGTAAAATTGCTAATCCACCCAGGTCCATAGGATGTATTAACTAAAAGTTGGTTGATTTGGTAACAGAATGTATGACCCTAAATCTATCTGTAAAACTACCACCAAAGAAAAACTGCAAACTTATGATTTTTAAAGTACCATATATAACAGTCAAAGTAAACTAAGACTAACAATGAATGTGGCTAATATTTATTAGCCAGTTACTATGTTCCAAGAAGTTTGCTAGGTGTTTTATATACATCCCCTTATTTATTACTCAGCCTGATACCATAAGATAAGTACTATTAATATCATTAGAAGAAACAAAAGCTTACAAATGGCAAAGTTAAGTCACTTTAACAAGGTTAAGGGTTAAGCTATTAATCTTTAGCTCATAGAGTTAAGTGTTAGTACATGGCTCTTAGGCAGGCTGACACCAGAGCTCAGAATCTAAGCAAATACAGTGTGAAGGAAAACTTAAGAAGAATTCAATCAGAAACTAACTACTCTGCAAATTAAACTTAAGAAGAATTCAGTCAGAAACTAACTACTCTGCAAACATAACCATATAATTCTGTGCAATTAAACTTTCAAGAGGCAGAAAAACTGAACTCGAGGGAAAGTAAGTTTGAAGAAATTGTCCAAAATCACCCACAATAAGTCATATAAATATTCCTTTTGTACAGTTGCATTATATACTAGGAAGGATGCATCATTTTTGTAGAATTGTGTTAGAAAATGAAACTCATCCTATAACAGGATAAATCAGATAAATCCAAGCAGAATGTCATGCTACTCAATGAGTGCATCAAAAGTGTCAACTATCACAAACTGGAGGAGACACAGCAGCTGAGCCAGTGTGGGATGCTGTGACTGATTCTGGAACAAACAAGAACATTAGAGGATAGGTGATAAATTTGAAATAAGGCCTGTAGGTTGGTTATTAGTAGTAGTATAGCAATGTTAACTTCCTTGTTTTGATAATTTTATCATGGTTATGGTTATTCAACTTGTTAACACTGAGGAATCTTGGTAAAACATGCACATAAACTCTATATCACTTTTGCAAGTATTCTATAATTCTTTCAAAATAAAAAGATTTTTTAAAAGTTGCCCCACAATTATCTCTAAAAGAAGTGAATTCCAAATACAGAATTCATTTCCATAATTCAAGGTATATTCCCATGTTATATCAATTGTTCAAAAGCATGGAAATTGTTCAAAAGCAATTGTTCAAAAACAATGGAAATTGTCCCAATTAATTCTATACAGATAGTGTAAACTTGACATTCAAATTAGGCAATATCACCTCAAGGTAAAAAAACTACTGTCCAATCTCACTCATGAATATAGATTCAAATCTTAAATCAAATACTAAAACCTTAAATTCAGCACTTTATCTGAACAATCATCATGATAAAGTACACTTAATTACAAGAGTATTATGATAGCTTAAGTTTAAGAAATTTATAAAAACAGTCAAATACATTTGATAAAATAAGCACTCATTCCAGATTTTTTAAAATCACACTTGAAATACTAGGAATAAAAGTATACTTTAGTATATACTTCAAGACAGGAAATCAGATATTAAAGTAAAGATATTATTACCCATTTTATTACCAAATAAATATTAATTTGAGGTTCTTGACAATGTAACATGAAAAGAATAAGAAATAAGATGTCTAATTATCCAAGAAAAAAGAAAAAATTGTCATTGCTATGTGAAAATTATACAAAAACTATTAGAACAGAGGTGGCAGTAAGTGAAACTGTTACAAAACAAAAAACTCAGAACATTTCTATACAGTTAGAAAATGTAACAGGGAAAGATCATGATCATAAGAACAACCAAAACCATGAAATGCCTCTGTAAGAATAAACTCTATATAAATGGTACAGAATGTAAATGTTTCAAAATAACTAAGGTAAATTTTAAATATATCACAATTTTTAAAAATCAAGTAAATGAGGTGATGGATATGTCAATTCACTTAATTCAGTCACCCCACATTGTAAATGTGTATCAAACCATTCTGCTCTAACTGGTAAGTATACAATAGTTATGATGTGTAAATTACAAATAATATTGATGTAAAAGCTGGTGGTTGCATAGTATTATGAATATGCTACCAGGTATAAAATTCCTCATTTTAAAGTAGTTTATCTTATATTAATATTCTAACATTTAGAAGCTAACTTTAAAATAGATAGGTTAAGAAAATCAAACCGCAAAACTCTGTTGGTGAACATAAAAAGAAATTCAGATAAATAAAATAATTTGAAAGATTCTGCAAGTTTGACAGGAAGTAGGAAATAAGAAAATCTCATGTATTGTTGCAAAAGTAAAAATTGGTAAACCTCTTTATCAGGAATTTTAGCAGTGCCTGTCAAAACTTAATGTACATAACATTTGATCCAGCAATTTTAATTCTAAAAATTTATCTCATAGGTAACATATATGTATAAACATGTGAGTGGATATGCATGTGTGTGCATACACGATTACTCAGGGCAGCACTGTTCTTAAAAGAAAAAAGCTGCGAACAACATATATATTGAAAAAAAAAGAGACTGAGTAAAAATGGCATGTAAACATTAAAAACACTATACAGTTATACCAAAAAAGAGTATGATAATTCTATTAAAAATATTTTTTTGTAAGATACATTTATAAAAAGAGAATAACATACATCTTAAGTTATCAGTGTGCTTTTACCTGGGTGATAGAATAATAACTTATTTTCTTCCATATGCTTTCCTATGTTTTCCAAATTTTATACAATACTCATGTATTGTAATCCATAGGAAAAAATTAATCCAAGCTAAATCTGTGGATGGAAGGAATTCCAATACCCATTGTTTGCATTAGGCACTAGATGCACAAGGCACACAAATACACATTATAAATGCACTTGCCAATACACCAGTTGTGTATAGGGAGGGAAAAAGATTGTTGTCACGAAAAGGAGGGCAAAGTAGGGCATTATCCTGCAATCCTCACATGTCCAGTTGCATCCACTGCAGGAAGCAGTTTTACCAATTTTTCTTTATATCCATGGGAAGTGCATTATATCATCTGTGTATACACAATAGTACTGCTTATGTAAGCCAGGGTATCAGGGCAGGAAACCAGGGTGTATGTTTGAAGGTTTATATCCTGTATAACTACATACAGCCAGCAGGAACTGGGAAGTGGAGCTCAGTATAAACATGTCATTTGTGATCTGCACACTTACATCCCCTGAGAGCTGCTCGACTTTGAGCAGCCAGCGTGCAGGTTTGAGGAAATGTTCTGAAGCCCTCACAATGAACTTTAGAGAAAGCCCTAACCACATTGAAAAGGAAATTTTTGGACCGGTGATCATGATGGCCTCCTTTAACACCCTCCAACACAGGGACCTAGGAACTTCTCCAGATCCATCATAAGGAATTAAATGCCATGGTCCTGGCTCCCAAAATTCTGCACAGGAGAGGCTTAAGGCATAGTGATCAGAAAGGAAGTGGGGGGCTATTAGGAGTGGCTGTCAAATGTCTTTATCTCAATTTACAGTAATAACTTTTATTTCACATTGTGACCCATTATAAACATATTCGTAGTGTTCATAAATACACACACACACACACACACAATCTTTATATTGCTAACATGAAGGTTTTATGAACTGGTACATGCAACAAGTGTGACCTACTTTGACATGTTCTATCCTGTTGTGGTATAATCTGCTCCATCCTATTTCAAATTCTACCCACATCTCACTTAAATTATTTTGACTGTCCATCTCAGTGGTAGCAACTTGCAGTTGGAAAAGGACTGGACAAGGGGTCTTCGGGACCTGCATTTCAACCATCTGGAGTGTGGGACTGGGCTGTGTTGATCCACAAGCACCTTGACACCACAGATGCATAGTTTTGCTCTCATCAAGTTCTCAAAGGAGAAAACGTTGAGGAATTATGAGATGTTGTCATAACACAGAACAGAGCATTTTTATAGTTCTGCTCAGAATCATAAATTTCCAAAATCATATTTATGGAAATCATATCTTTGGGCATAACTCAAGTTTTTAATCATCCTTATAATCCCTTTTTGATACAGCTCTGATTCAGATCTTGAATGTCCCCCCTAGGCCCATGTGTTGAAAGCTTTGTGGTGGCCATGGTGGTACTAGAAAAGGGTGGAAGCTTTAGAAGCCGAAGCCTACTGAGAGGAAGTTAGGTCATTGGAAGGGTGCCCTTGAAGAGTGATGGGGATCCCAGCCCCTTACTGACTTTCTTTGCCTCCCAGCTACCATAAGGTGAACAGGTCTCCTCCACCATGCCCTCTGCCATGATATACTTTTCTATCACAGGCTCAAAGCAACAGGGCCAAGCAACCATGGACTGAAATCTCTGAAACCATGAGCCAAAATAGCCTTCCCTCCTTGTATCTTGCACACAGCAGAAAGCTGATACAGACACCTTGGCAGTGAGAGGGGAAGCTGGAAGCAGAGTTACCATAGGAAGAGCTGTTGAAGAGCTCAATGTTGAAGAAGGCGTAGTCTCCACTGGTCATGCCATGTCTGTGTGCTGCCAGCATGATGTTCCGGATGGTGTCCCCACTGGCACACATGATCACCACTGGGGAGAGAAACAAAGAGCACACATGAGACACCCCACCACAGCAGGCAGCAAGCACACCAGAGCCAGGGGGAGACAACTGACACAGAGCTGGGCATTGTCTCCTCACAAACTGCCTATTACAGCAATCCCCCTGATCTGCACGGCACACTCTCCTAGCCCCCAGTGAACACCTGGAACTGTGGATAGTACCATGTACCATGTTTTTCCTATATATACATATCCTAATGTTTAGCTTAGATATTAGGCAGACTAGGAGATTGACAAATTTAATAATAAAAAGAACAACTACAACAATATACTATAGTAACAGTTATTTAAAACTCATGAATTGCTTACTTCTAGAATTTTCCATTGAATTTTTTCAGACCATAGTTGACCATGGGTAACCAAAACCTCAGAAAGTGAAACCACAGGTAAAGGAGAAGATCATAGTTTTACCATACAGAAAGCTACCAGACGCCATCACAACCAAGTGCTGGAACTAACATCGCCATGTGGGAAAACACACTCATCAACACACCAAGGATCAGAAACACCCAACAAGCAACACAAAATTAGTCAGGAGGAAGCAGCTTCAAACCCAGCTTAGGAAACAACAGAATAATTGACCTGTGTGCCACCACCACCCTTCTTTTTGTGGCTCTCTACCACTGAACCACATCCCCAGCCTGTCTTCTTAGTTTTTGAGACAGAGTCTCTGTTGTTGCCCAGGTTGGCCTCACACTTGTGATCCCCCTGCTTCAGCCTCCCAAGTTACTGAGGTTACTGACATATGCCGCCATTCTGGCTGGCCTATGCTCTTTAAAATGGTCATTTTCCCATAATGTTAAGTGAAATAAACCAGACACACAAGTTTAAATATTGCATGGTTTCTCTTACAAGAGAAACTCAAAGTTAAAAATAAACAGCAAAATAAAAGACAGATAATAGGTAACAGGGAGTAGCACTTTTGTGAAAGAAGTGACCAAGAGATGGAGGGAAGGAGATAGAGAAGGGGAATGGGATTAAAAATATAATTAAGACATGTTATGTATATGTACCAACTCCCATGATGAATGTAATCATGTACCGCGAAAATGTACTAATAACAAAATTATATTTAAAAATAAGTAAGAGTAGGTAGGGCATTTAGGGGTTGACTGAGTTATGAAGGCCTTGCCTCATGAATGCATTAATCCATTTATGTACTAATGGATTACTTTGTTATCATGAGAAAAGATCATTTATAAAAGCCAGTTTAGCTCTATGTCCTGTGTGTGCCCCTTCTGCATGCGATGGCTTGCAGTGCCCGTGATTCTGCAGAGTCCACACAGCAAGAAGACCTCACCAAATGTGACCCCTCAATCTTAGACTTCCCAGCTTCCAGAACCATGACCTAAATAAACCTCTGAACTTTATTTTAAGATTAAATAAATAATAAATTTGTCAATTTCATGAAAAGCAAAGACAGATACACACAAAAAAAATCCTAGGCTGAAAGAGATTTAGAAGAGCAACCTACATGCAATTTGTGACAGTTGTATTCTGGACCTTAAAATAAATAAATAAAACTTTTGTTGTAAGGGACATTATTGAGACCATGGTGGGATTTGACTAAGGTTTATAAACATATAGAATGTGTGTGCATTAAAGTTCTTCATTTTTGTCCCCTACACTCTGGTTATATAAGTGAACATCCTTGTTCTTAACAGACACACATTTAAATTGTTAGGGGTAACAAAACATAACCCTGGACGTATTCTGAAAGGGTTCATTAAAAGGTAGCATTTTCTGTGTGTATCAGCATATTCCTGTGAGTATGCATACACATATCAATAAATAGGTATAAAAAGGACAAATGGATGGTAGATGATAGATAAATGAGAGAGAGAGAGATGATAGATAGATAGACGAGAAGAGAGGAAAAAGGGAAAAGATTTAGAATGTCAGGGCAAATATGGCAAAAATCCGGTTAAGGCTATATAAAGGTATTTTATATCTTTTTATATCTTTTCCAAAAGTGTGAAAACTATTTCAAAATAAAGTTTTTGGGCTGGGATGTAGCTCAGAGGTGCAAGCATCTGCCTAGCACTCGCAAGGTCCTGAGTTCAATTCCCAGGACCAAAAAAAAAATTTTTTTTAAATAAAATTTTTAAAAATTAAATAAATCTTGCCAGGCATGGTGGTGCATGCCTGTAATCCCAACACTCAGGAGGCTGTGGCCAGAGGATTACTGCAAGTTCGAGGCCAGCCTGGGCTACAAAGTGAGTTCAAGACCAGCCTGAACTGCATAGTGAAACACTGACTCAAAAAAAAAAGATTAAATAAATCTCTAGATTATTCCTACTATAAGACAGTGAAGACTGTCAACTGTTTTTCATACTTAACAGGATGTTTTCTAAAAAAGCAAGTTCAGAGGCTTTAGGGAAAACATCCTCTGGCAAATCAGTGAGTGAGCGTCATAGGCTCTTTCTGTCCTAGCAAATCAATGAGGGTCTATACTACGCTGAAGTTTCCTCAACAGACAGAAGAAGTAGATAACAAGATGTTAGGTCACCCGTGTTCTCTCAGTTTATGTCCACACTGTCAGATCTGAGAGGTTTAAGCAGCTCCAGGAGATTGTCACTTGCCACCTAAGAATGACACAGAGTGGAGTAAAGCGGGGACTTGGACATTGTCCAGTCACTGCTGATGGTTTGCAGGCTCCGCTGTCTTTGCTATACAGCAGATCACTGTATTTTCTGCCTACACACTGGGCAAAGAAGAGACTCTCATAGGCCTGGGTGCTGCCAACTGTGTTATCACCATGCATGCCAGCCCTCCAAAATATATATGTTCTTTGTAAAAGCACAGTTGCTGAAAGACATAAAACAAGCGGCAGGCTGTGGCTGAGCGTCTTTGGTAACCTGCATGGAAGGCTTGGCTCTTACTGATATTCCATTTATGGCACATAGTAACCGGGAGTGTTAGGTCACAACTCTGACATTTCATACTACAAGAGGGCTTGATGTGCAGGGTAGTAGCCCCAAAGAACAAATGTTTTGAACAATATAAAACCTCTCAAAGGCCTGTGAATATTGGAGTCAGAGTTGTTTGAGTTTTAATAGTACATTATATATTGGAGGTAAATAATCAGATTTAAAGATGACTTAATAAGGAAACTCTCAAAGAAACACTGCATTATTCGTTGTGGCCTAGACCCCTGTGTTAGTTCTAATTCAATTTCTAGCTCCTTCAGTTAAAAAAGAGCCAAGGTGTCCCACAAAGCAACAAACAAGAGGCCAAGGCTGAACATGTTTGGAGAGCATGGATTCCAAGAGTGGTCACCGCCAGGAGGACCCAGCGAGTCTGGCTGCTGTCCATCAAACAGCCCGCATCATTTTCTGATCAGCTGCTCATAACCCAGAGTCCAGTTCTCAGTCCTCACATGTATGACTTGATTCTTGCCAGCACACAGGGAACAGGGCCACTGCTTCGGGGCAGATGCTCAATAACCCACATCAAATACTTACAGATAATCTGGACTTCAGATTGTTTGAGTTCCATGGGGACTATAGCACTCATAAATACATCTGTGTCAACACGCCCTATGCCCTGGGTATGATACCTAGGGGACCAAATTACAAACAATAAAATGCTAGTGAAGGTGAAATCAAAATGCGGGAGGTCCGCTGGAGGATTCAGGTGTTGGAAGACACCAGGCATTGATAACCCTAAATATTTATCTGAGAGATGTACCCGGCCCAGGACTGCATAGGCTGTGGCTCAGAGCCAGAGCACCACCTTCACTAGGTCCCAGACAGGCTCTGTTCAAAACTGGCTTCTGTGGGGCTTCTCTTCTTTTTACATTCTGATCCAGCTCCTTCTCTCCCCATCACCACCATCATCACCAAACCCTTCTGATGGATGCATTCCATCTTAAAACATGAGTAGTCCCCACTTAGACTGAGCAAGAGTGTCACAGTACCATCTGTCTGAGCACACTTTGATTATTTTATCTCATACTTTGTGTTGACTGTGGGGTTTATGTTCAAATGGAAATCCTGATTTCCAAGTTCACAGACAGAGCACTGTCTTGAATAAACCAAATTCATCATCTAGTAATTAATAACACTGGCAAAGTAGAGTGCAGAATTCCAGATTTGTATGGTGCTCCCAATCTTTTACAGTTATCTCGTTCATACCTAATTGAACAGCAAGCATTTTTTAGTAACTTGCCTTTATACAACTTATCAAATGGTTTAAGATGGTTTTTCAATGAAATAGCTTCCTCTTCCTGCTAATGTTTCAACAGTTTACACAGTAGCTAATTGAATTAAATACTTACAATAATAACTACAGGTAGAATAATACAACTCTTGAAAGCCATGTGGAGAAGATGAAATCTTGTGTGTGGCATGTACTGGAAAACTCTACTAGCTGCCAGTACCCACCCACTGTCAGTAAAACTGACAGAAAGACACAATGGACTAATCTTGCAAACTGCATAAGTGGCAGTCTAGACAGCTTCTGTTGTACCCAAGTGTATCTGAGTATATAAATACTAATTTGGGGTCAAACTGTTAAACTTCTAAAAGAGGTAATGCTGGTGTAATGCTAAATTTCTGGTTATACTTTTCTTTGTCTTGCTCTTTTTTTTGTTTGTTTGTTTTGAGACAGGTCTTGCTATGCAGTTCAGACTGAACTCAATATATAGCCCAGATTGGCCTCAAACTCTCAACAATCCTCCTGCCTCAGCCTCCTGAGTGGAAGATTATAGGAATGAGCCACTGTCCCTGGCTTGTCCCCCTCTTTTAACTTGTGGTGTTCCCTGCCATCCTTCCCCATGTGCTGCCCCACTGTCCTCTATCAAGGCCTTCTCACTTCTGCAGTACGTTCTTGCAGTCACTCAGTTAAAGCAGGAAAGGTTTATTTAGCTCACAGTTTATAGAGGTTTCAGTCCATAACTGGCTGGCTCCAAGACAGGGTGTTACTTGGTACAGGGGTAACAATTCATGATGGTGGAAGACAGTAAAAGC